CTTCCACGAGTCCCAGGCGGAATACGAACAGGTGGCGGATGTATCTGTTCGTACGTCCGATGGGGACGATGGGAATGCGAACTTCTCGATTTTCATCTCTCGATGCATCTTCTAAATAAATGAATAAATAAATATATGAAGAAAATTAAGATGAGAGAAGTCTCGTATTCTTTAAATCTTCACCCTGCATTCTGCGGTCTGACGATTTTTAATTGATAATTTTTTTCCTTCACTCAGTGGATTATTTGGTGCCTTTCAGGGAACCCCGGGACCAGCCGGTCAACCGGGACCTCAGGGACTCCCGGGACTCATGGGAATGGCGGGACCGCCGGGGCCACCGGGGCTCCCTGGGCAAAGAGGGGACCCAATCGCCATGGCGGTGGAAGGCGGGGGCGAGGGGAAGCCGGGGGCGAGGGGGGTGCCCGGACCGCGCGGGCCGCCCGGAATGGTAAGGTGGGCCGCCACGATGGGTCACCGTCGGTGGTGGCCCGCGGCTTTAGTTCGGGGGGATTTTGCATCTCGGAATGGAATCCTCGAGAGTGGACTCTGTGCAGCCGGGGGAGAGAGGTGCGGGAGGGGAGCGGGGGCCGACGGGGCAGCCGGGACAGACGGGGCCACCGGGGGTGCCAGGACCGCCAGGGATCCCGGGGAATCCGGGTCGGAGGGGCGAGCCCGGGATACCCGGACAGCCTGGATCGCCGGGCAGGAGCGTCTCGGAAGAGGAAGTCCGGGATATTTGTGCGTCCATCCTCAGAGGCAAGTTCGTGGGGTTGGGGGGCGGGGACGCGCGCGGGGGAGGCTCGAGGCGGCCCGAGTCTTTTTTTTTTCTCGTCTCAAGTGGATTTTTGTCTTTTTCTACCAGCGATAGGGCGGGAGAGACGGTGAGGTATGACGAAAGTTCCATTCTTTCCCTCTGCTCGAATTGCGGTTTGGCAAACGCTGTGGGATGAAATCTCGCGAGCGGTTAGGGCTAGAGAAGAAAATGATCAATTTTGGCATTTCTGCTCCTCTTTGCAGGCTAAAAGGCTGCTATAAAAAAAAATTAAGAAGAAAAACTAAAATCGGTACTAAGCAGCAAAAATAATGGAAATGATCCCATTTTTCTCGGCAGATGCTAATTACGGTAGGGTAAAACTCGATCGGAGCAAAGAAGGGAAGGCAAAAATGTAGGTTTTTAAAGCTGAGACGGACGCTTCCCCCTTTCCAGATGAAATGAAGGTACTAGTGGCGGGTCTGATAGGTCCCCCGGGGGTGCAAGGACAGGGAAGGCCCGGTGCATCTGGTCCTCCTGGAGAGCAGGGACTAACAGGTTAACGAATCCTTCGTCTGTTCGCACTCGCCTTACTCATATGGGTTTCCCTTCTCTCTCTCTCTCTCTCTTTCTTTCTCTTTCTCTCTCTTTGTTTCGGGGCACGGTACAGAGCGTCTGGATGAGCTGACCCAAGGGCTGCGAGGGCCTCCCGGTTTTCCAGGGGTGGGCACGGCCGGTCCCCCTGGCCACCCCGGACCCCCAGGCATTCCAGGTCAGCCTTCCAAATCCTTTGCAACGAGCCAGCCCTGCTTCGTGGTCTAAGGTGACGCAGTGAGCCTCCTCGGAGCGCACCGACGGAGCCGTCGGAGAAATGTAGTCACTTATGGGGAGTAAATGGGAGCAAAATACAAGAAAATGCAAATGGCTGGATGGGGTGGAGTCGGTCGACCACGCGTTCCATTATTGGAATTTCCGCATTGTTATATATTTTTCCATAAATCTATTCGATGAAATGCTCCCAAAGCCAAATAGTAATAGTAAATAGTTCACAGTATTTTCTAGAGGAAAATTTGGTAACGTTTGAAGAGGTAATATTCTCGCAAATTTCATGCTGACACAAGTCGACAACCGGGCAATTGCACAAGGAGGCTCACTAGAATAAATGCTGAGATTATCTTGAAACTTCACCTGCAGTAAATAGGGTAGAAGCCAAACAATGTACCGCTTTTTTTCACAGACCTTGTGTGCCTAAGTAGCCCTTGATCCTCATCTGGACTCCTTTTGAGATAGTCACTTATTCAGTTTTTATTAGTGCTACTATTACTATTATTCCATAATTTTATTTGTCAATAAGTTTTTATTGACTTGTAAATGCATCCTGGAACCTGCATGGCATGCAATTTTCCGTTCCAGGGGATTCAGGAAAGCCAGGACTTCCCGGCGAGCGGGGACTCATGGGTCTACCAGGGATCCCCGGACCACCAGGAACCATGGGACCGAAAGGGGACAAAGGTGATAAGGGTGAACGGGGACCGGAAGGAGTTGGCACCGAAGGGCCGATGGGCCAAACTGGATTGCCAGGTAAAGCTCACATTTTCCGTCTTGCACTTGGTGGTACTCGTTATAGGGTTCAGTGAAGCATTAAATACCATGTACAACACAGGCACAAGTTAGGTATTTATTTTTATTAGAGCATGGCAGTTAGTGATGGCTTTTGCTATTTCTACTTCTTAGGTCCACCGGGACCTCCAGGCATTGGACTGCCGGGTCGGCCGGGCGAAAGAGGAGAACCAGGTCGTCAAGGTCTCCCGGGAGTTCGAGGCGGTCCCGGCCCGCAAGGACCTCCAGGCTACTGTGAATTCTGCAATTATCCTGGTGGTAATTTCATCAGCGCTGTCGCCGGGCCGGGAGGAACGAATAAGGGACCGGGCAGAAAGTGAAAACTCTTAGTGTAGCCAACTGTCACTGCCAAACTCTCTCTCGACGTCTCATGCTCACACGAGAAAACTTTGTGGTCTACGACATCTTACTGAACTAGTGTCTTTCTGCGGTTTCAAGTTTGTTAACAACAGGATTTGGAGAAATTTCACATTCCCTTTATTCAGAATGTGTTCCATACACTGAAATGTATCATCTTTGAAAAAGCACTCGGACACCATTCAACTCAACTACATATACAAAAATAAAATGACATTAGAAAGACTTCTGTAAAGCTACCTTCACAGCTCCACAATGTTCTGCTTTCCATTGGTGAATTGTTCCTCACTTTGTCATCTTTAAGAGGAAAAAAAAAGAACCCCATATAAAAGAACTAGGGGAAATCTGAGACAAAGTTACTCCAAGAATCATGCATTCAAATCTGAAAGAAAGAATGCCTGAGAATTCTAAACAACATTAAATATGACAAAGTCATAATCCATGATATGGCAAAGAACAATCTTCCACAAAGCTATGGCAGATCTTCACAAAAAAATGAATATATCACATAAGTTTTCATGAAATGGAGTCATCTGTGCTATCTTGGACTTTTCCAGTGGCACCCAGGACGTCTCCTGGCTGGAGGCTGTGAGTGATGGCGATGGAAAAGTTGTACTGTCAACCAGTACCAAATAGCAAGCTGTAAAGATCCATACATGCAGAAGAAGAAGAAAAAAGTAAAGAAACCTGAAAATAGGCTAAGAAAAGAAAACATGAAAGACTGCAAAGGCCCTCACTGAATTTCCCAGCAGGGGAAAGGAGATGGGTGAGTGAATCACTGTAGAAGGGAGGCACAAAAATCTAAAAAATCATACCAGTACTCTAGTTCCAGCCCCTTTTGTGAATGAAAAGGTATCACCTGTCTTGGAAGCAAGCCCTCTCATTAAAATCTGGAGATCAATGAGGAATCAGCCAGTGCCACTGCCAATTCTTTTCCCAGGTAGAGGTGAAAGGAAGTGCTTGAGCAGCATCTGGTGCCTTTTTTTTCCCATTTTCCTCCCTCTCCTCTATACAATCTATGTTATTTTCCTTTCCTGTTCCTCCACAATTCATCTAAATCCCTTCCCTCTCCTGCCATCAGCAAGGCATTGGTCACTGACCTTGTCAGTAACACAGATACATACTTTGGATGAAGGAAAGCCACAAGCATCAGAACTGCTGTCAATGCATGTAATTAATTCAGATAATAAATTCTAAAAAAAAAGAAGTCGGAAGATCTAAGTAGCTCGGCAACAAAAATCTTCACCCAGCTAAGAAGACAGAGACTGGCCAAGGCCAGGCTATCACAATAATAAGTCCACAAGACATTCGTGCAAGAATTGTGACTGAGTGGAAATGCAGAGTCTCCATGAGACTCTAGGTGAAAAATTAAGGAAGACAGTTGCTAAGGGGAAAAGTTCTCTTTGAATACAACACTAGGATTGGGCTCAATCCTCTGTCCACCAGGATTAATTTTGTCTGCAATAAAAATTAACAGCAAGGAAGTTGATGATAATGATAGCAATAGTGTGAGGAAGGTGATTGTGATTCCTGATTCTGAAGAAAGACTAATGAATCTTCCAGGTATTAATGAAATTTCCATGCTCCACTTCTCATGCTTTTGCTATTATTACCAAATAGGAGGGGGGGGGGGGGGGTGCATTTCTGCAGATGAATGACATACTCATCAAGAGGAAATCCTATCAGCAGATGAAAGAATGTTCCTCATGGGAGTTTATGTAATTTCCCATGGATTCTTTTGTACTTCTTCCTGCTGGAGCTCTTTTTTCTCCTGCAAGAATTATCATGCAAGAAACAGAATTTCCATGAAGACTCAAGCTTTTCAGTTTGACCAGAGATATTGAATTTTTGTCTGGACTTTAAAACGAAAATGCAAAAGCCTCACAAAAATCAATAGACAAAAACCAGAAAAAAGTTGTTGAAAGGCAACTCAGATGATAAATTGAAATTGCTGCCAAGAACTTCATTGACTAAAACAACATAAATCTTAAAATTTGAACCTTAGTCAAAACTAATCCTGCTGTCCACAGGATCAGTAGTCATCTTGTTATGCCTATCTCCAAAATCCACAAATGACCATCAACCATGCAAGAAAGGTATTTAAAAAAAAAAAACTCTACCAGAATTCATACTTAATTAAAAATGATGCAACTGAAAAATAAACAACAAAAAGAATGGCCAAGTGACCATCCACAAGCTCAGGCTGCATGAAACGACCATGACAGTGAATTATGATTTAAGACGTGAAAAGAATTGGAACTTTGCACAACAACCTTGGAACCATCACCACATTGGAAAGAGACATCTTCCATCTGACAATCTGAGATGGGGGTGGGTGGGTGGTGGGGGGGAAGAAGCTGCCCTCAAACTATGATGCCCGCTTCATATCCTGACTGGAAGATTCTTCCTTGAGTCTTTGGTCTGATTCGTCAGAGGAAGCACTACTAGTCTCTTGGTGAGAGTGAGGAGTTAATCCACTGGATATGTCACTCACATTCACGGTCTGTAAGACCTCTGGCAAGGATGGGAGATTCCCAATATCAGCACGATCCACCTAGGAAATAAGGCATATTACAGATATAAGGTCTACTTCTGTTCACACTTCTCAGTATCAGGCATATGTTGTTTCTCATCAATTAGACAATGATGGGGCCATTAAAACTTAAATTCAGAGAAATCCTGAAAGCAGGAGACTCACAGGGATTGGATGCACTCCATTATTGAGGACTGGAACCATGTGATCATGAAGACTGACAGCTTCACTTCTGTCTGAGACTTTCAGCTGAGATGAAAGGACTGGGTAACGTTCACTGGAATCACTTTCACTCCTGAACTCCTGCTTCAAGGCAATAAGCCAGAATGGTTACAATATATGATGTCAAATTAATAAAAGATCCAATGGGAAATCCTTACCTCAGAGTGCAGGGACTGGCTATCAACAGCACTCTGGAAAGCTGTCAGCATGGGAAGCATTGATGTTGAGACCACCTCTGCACTCGAGGATGAAGAAACTGGCAGTGGGGGAAGCGTGGTGAGGACTTGATAAACTTGTCCACTGTGAACACTTTCATCCTCCAGGGCTGGAGACTGAATGGGATATATCATACATGCCTTGCACAATCAATGGAAAATGTCTCTGTCTGCAAGGGCATGCTTCACATACATTGTGGTGACATGGCTACAGAACTGCAGCTTCCAAAGTTTACCCCCCTGCTTTAGTTCACTCATGCAAGTTCATATATGCAACTCACATGTGAAAAGTTTGTTTTCTGGGTTATTCTCATATGATGATACTTTCATCATATGAAATTAAATTAAATCAAATTAAATTTCAGTTACAAGACAAAACTCTGACACTGCTATGGAGACTGATACCCAAGTTGAGAGCTCTTGATAGCAGGAGCAAAAACTTAGGATATATAGATGGACAGATATTAACCTAAATCCTACTCTACCCCCCCCCCCCCCTTAAAGAGATGATGGCTGGAGTGGCATATTATTAAAAAAAATTATTGCAAGCAAGACTCAGCAGTGGGATGAGGAAACTTTTTAAGAGTGTACGTTGAGGATGAGAATGGTACCATTGAAGCAATCTGAGAAAGGTGGAAGGGGGAAATGGGAAAGGATGGATGACTGCCTACCCCTCTCTGCATGTATGGTCAGCCATTGTAGACAAGCCAAGAAATTTCAAATTTGGAATTAAAATTTTAACTGAAACTCCCTAACCAAAATTAAGCCCTGCTTACTCTTACTCATGAGTCCCTAAGATAAATATGTTTGGAATCAATGCAAAGTTAACACAAAACCAAGACGGCAGCATCACCATAGATGCACAGGTAAACAGGATGACAATACATGAATGATTCATTTTTAAAGCAGATCCAATGAAAAGAACCCAGTTCATTATACCATCCTGTCATGATTGTAGTACACAATGCTTAGCAATGGATTGGGAAGAGTGGAAATTCCCATGCAGCAAAATGATAAAACTTGTCATGAGTTGCCAAGATCTCTACTCACTTCACAATGGCTAGGTGTCTGGCAGTTTTCCTGCTTCTTCACTGGGAGGATGCCCAGGCGATGATCAGCCATATGCGTAATGAAAGTGTCCCTCTTGATTGTCCGGTACGAGCACATATCACAAGTGAACATCAGTCCCTCATCTTGACCTAGGGTGAATAACAGCAAGATTTTGACTTCAGTCAGCCTGAGTAGTAAATATGCAAAATGGTGCATAAATAACTTGCAGCCCTACCAGGGTGTTTGTTTTTCAGATGTGTCTTGTAAGTGGATGACTGGATACATGCATAGGAGCAATATGGGCACTTGTACGGCTTTACCCCATCGTGTCGCATTTTGTGCCTCCTCAGGGAGTTATGATCCCCAGTTTTGTACTCACAAATATCACAGGCAAATGGCTTCTCACCTAGATAAATATATACCAGTGAAAGTTCACCAGTGCAAACTCCTACAATGACAGGTCTAAAGGCAAAATGAAGACCTCCCATTTCCTAACCTGTATGCTGTCGTAAATGCATCTTCAAGGTGCTGCGGCACGAAGCTGAGTAGCCGCAGAAGTTACATAAGAAAGGCCTGATCTTCATGTGGACTGTCTCCCTATGCATTCTCAACATCCGTTTGTCAGAGAACACTCTCTGACAGAGATCACATTGACGACTGGAAAGCCTCTTTGAGACCTTCTTGTCTTGATGCACAGTCTAAAAAATGAAAAGAAGTTGAAGAGTTGAAAGTATCCCTCTGTAAGATATTGGATTTTTAGTACATATGGTACTTTCATTGCAATACAAGGAGATAACAGTAGACATAAAGCTCATGCTTACCTTGTGACTCCTTAACTGCTTGTTAGTTTTGAAACCCTTGCCACATGTGTCACAGAGATAAGGCCTCTCACTGCTGTGAATTCTCTTGTGCAGATTCATAAGCTTGCTTTGGCTGCAGTAGAAAATGTACAATGCCACATATCAAAATGAAAAGCTAAAATAATTTTCTTGGTAAAAAATAAAACCCACCTATAAGTTTTGTAGTTGCATTGATCACATGAGTACAGCTCCATGTCAATGACATGAGCTCTCCAGAGATGAACACTGAGATTCCGCCAGTGACTGAAATGTTCCTTGCACTCTGGACATGCAAACACCTCACCACTGTGGCATCTTCTGTGATAGTCAAGTGTCTCTCGAGACTTAATCCGAATTGCACAACCATTCACATCACATTTGAAGCCCACTTCCTTTTCCAGTGCCTTGTCATCCCGCATGTCAGGGTTGTTCTTACGGAGTTGTGTGATGCCCAAATTCTTTGATCCCTTTGGCCGCCCTCTCCTCTTGCTCAGGCTTGAGGCAGAATTCTCCACATCAAGCCCGATGTCATTGCTTGTCCATAAGGACTCCGAATCAAGGGTTTCCAAGTCTGCTGGGAGGGTCATTGGCTCCAAGAAATGAGACCCAACATGAAGAGAATGCTCAGGTACATCCTGACTAAGCGTTACAACTGGGAGAGATAACAGAGAGGTTAATGGCAGTGACTTCTCCCCCTCACTCGAACCACTTGCCCGCGATCCTCTCTCACGCATCATGAGACAATCAGTGGCCTCTTCTTTCCCCCCACAACCAGATCCATCCTTTCCACTCGACATACAAGAACCATCTTTATCATTACCTCCACATTCCTGATGATTACTCTGATCCATGGGATCAACTTCACTGTCTTTGTCACACATCTGGACTAGATGGCACTCGCCATTCATAGCCATTCCTGAGTCCCTCTGGTTCCTCTGCCTCTGTGCCTCACCAGAAGTGGTATCTTTGAGAGGCAGTTGCATGGTGACCAAGTTGAATCCCAACCCTTCATGGCTTGTGACAAAATGCATCTTCAAACTTTTCATAGTGGGAAACATAGAATTGCATTCACTGCAGAGGAATTTGTAGGAATCACTGTTTCCATTTTCTACAACTTCTTCCTCTGGACCCACCACATCTCGATGTTCAGTTTCAATGTGCTCAAATAAGTTCTTCTCAGTTGTGTGTATATAAGAACACAGCACACATCTATAGCAAACAATGGGTTGTATAAAGTTTTCAAGTTTCCCCCAAGATGACCTCAATTTCAGATCTTGCCTTTGCTCAGATGGGCTTTTCTGATACAAAATAGTTGGTTCTGTTTCTTCATGCTGAGATCTGTTTCTCATCTTGGATGTGGGACTTTTCAAACTCTTGAGTGGTTCACTTGACATTGGCATCATTTGAGTCTGAATTCGATTCCCTGCCTGTGCAAAGCTCTGCATCATTAAAGGTTGTGATGAGTCCATATGGTGTGTTGATCGGGACTCACACACAGATATGACAGCTGTTTCGGCACCTGCATGATTAACACCATTGACATTTGTCAGCAGAACAGGATTGAATGCCAAAATGGACGGTAGGGATGCATCACTGAAATGAACACCAACGGGCTCCAATTCTGTCACAGATTGATTTTTCTCTGAGTCATTTAACTTCTTCAGCTTCTCCCCACACTCTGTGTTATTCTTTGAAGGCAAAAATTTAAAATTTGGCATCATCACTTGCTTCTCAGGGCTCTCCAGCGTTTCAGTCCTGGACTGAGGTACACATTTCAAAGGGATGAAATGCTGTTTCACCTTGATGGGATGTCGGACCATGGTACTAGAATGATTCTGTGAAGTTTCAACCAGAGATTGTGACATGTTAGTACCATCATCCATCACTCCATTGGAGTCAGTACTTCCAGATGGGGTAGATTTCTCAGCCATCCTCCTAACCTTGGCTCCCCTTGAGTGAAAAACTTGTGTCTTTGTGGCTTTTTGAGGCCTCTGATGGCTTTTACTCTGTTCCATTTCTGGATTTTCTCGAGGAACCAATACCCTTCTTGCCTGCTTGGAGGTAGCTTCTGTGGATCCAGCCAGCCCAGCTGGCTTAGGGGAGATAGGAATGACTTTGCCAGATGAGCATGTCATCTCTGATGACAACTGATTCATACTATCCAGGGCAATTGTTATGGGAATGCTCACAGAAGTACCTGAGCTATCATTGGCAATCACATTAGTCATGCCACCCTGGAGCTTGCCAGAGGAGTCCTGACTAAGCACTACATGGTAGAATGATGTCTGTGGAGCTTTCACAGGGTTCTGAAGAGATTGACTTGAGAGAAAGCTAAGGCCCTTAGCACCATCACTACCTTTGCTCACCATAACACAGGGTTCTGAGGTTGTCAGGACAACATTATCAAGACCTCCTAGTCTCTTCATGGTTTCTTCATGAAATGGAGGCCTTACAGCTTTGATCCTTGAGTCTTGACCTCCAGTTGCATTTCCATGATCTGGAATACTGGAATCGCGATTGTTTGAAGATTCTTTGGCTTGCTTGCTTGCAGGTGAGAAAAATGCTTGAGATGTTGGCATGGATGCAAAACTTGCAATGTCACTGAAAGAGGTTGCACCATCCAGGAAGGGTGACAGCGTGCCTGATGGCAAGGGAAAAGTGATGTCATGAGGAACTGAAGAAATAGGAGGTAAGACAATGGAAGGCAGGCAAGAGGGGATGACTTTGCTACTCTCTGATGACATTGAGTGCCCTGAGTTGGAAGTGTACAGGATCCCATTGTTGTCAAAGAGAATGGCTCCTCCATTCTTAATAGATGGTTGAAAACGATTATCTGGGGACACGTTCCTGGTCTTCCCATTCAGAGTGGCATTCGCTTTGCAATTGCTGTCAGGACGGTTCATCATTTTTTGATGTGTTGAATTTTCATGTAACTTACTAGCATTGGTGCTGGCCATGACAGACTGAAATGATGGGAGAGGAGAAAGTGATGTAGATGTTATATTCTGAAGATTCAGGGCTATCTGCTGAATCTCCTCAGCAGATGTAAAGTAACTTTTTGAACCTACAGACTCCACATCAGATACTGGTATGGAAATGAGAACTTTTGGTTCAGTTCCATTGGAAGAGGATGTTTCCCGGCTAGCATCAAAAGTATAGCTTTTCTTGCTGCCCCCAGCCAAACTTCCATTCATATTTCCATGGTTGACAACCTTGAATCCAATGTTGCTTGTCTGTACAGAGTCACCAACACTTCTTGGTGACAGCAAATCAATTCTTTCCTCAATGAAAGGCAAACTGGTCTTCCCTGTTTTCCCATTCTTCATTCCTTTTCCTTTGACCTCCCTTGTCTTCAATAAACCTCTGCATGATGCATTTCCAAGATCTTTCTCATTGACTTGGACTCCAAGAGATGCTCTCTGCTTTGGGTCTTTCCCCACTTCCCTCAAACGGGACCCAGGCATGGACTTCCCCTGCAAGACATTTTGTAGGAACTATTCTTCAAGGGCACTACATTAATTAACTTGCCAACTTTCACATGCAAAGGAGAAATGGTTTATCTTTACAGACATGATTTGGTACACAAAAAAAAAACCTCAGAATGCTACACAGAATATGTACTCTTGCAGGCTGCTTGGTAAGTTAACTACTGCCAATGAATGCAATGCCAATCATGGTTAGCCAAATAAGTGAAGATCTTCAAGGCATGAGTATACAAGCAATGTTTAAGTATGTTTAAATATGATAGTATAATGATTAAATGACATCTCAAGCATCAAAAGATAAGAAACTTAGCAGGAATGAACAGACACACCAGCAGAACCTGGGGATCACTTGGAGTCTGCCCTGGAGAAGACAGAGATGCAGAGGACCCAGTTAGAATGCAGATGTTCTCAATGGAGGTGGCAGCTGTGTTCTTGATGTCAGGCATTATATAGGAAGGCGGTGAGCACCCATTTGATGGGGAAATTGATGAGACTGATGGGACCACTCCATCTTTGATCCTGCCTGGATCTTTCATTAGTCTATATAGAGCAAAAGGCTCACAGAGGATCACATGATGAATTCCCTGTAAATAAGATCATTCAAACACCATTACTCATGCTTTACACATACTGTTATTCCCAGCAAAGCAAACTGCTAATAAAACTAGATATACTATTACCCGGCCTTTCCATTCCGGGAGATAACACTTTTTCTTCAAACAAAGGTGATCCAAGCTCATCATTAAGATCCCACAATAATGTCTAATGAATATTTAATTTCAATGGGTCAGTTCACTAATTCCAAAATCCTGAAATCAACTTCCAGCAGAATATTTTATTTCAATCCCAATTTTGTTCTATGAAGCTCAACTTGTTTAATGGGAAAATGTCAATCAGTTATAAAATGTAACCCTTAATATCCCACCTCTTTGTATACTTGTAAAGGCCTTCCAGGCTGTATCATCCAGTATCAACACCAGTATATTCTTTCCTAATGGCAGCCTAGTCTATGAAGACGAGTTTCAGTAGGTATGGCATGGCAAGCAAAAAACTTCAATTTTCATGAAATTTTACACAGTCATCAGGACTCCCAAAAACATGAGATGAAAGCACAAGTGCAACTTCAGACACTGGGACTTGGGAAAGAGTAAGCAAGCTTGAAACTCATCCATTTCATGAAGTGCCACACTGCTGGATGGTAAAGGGCACATCCTAACATCCATGAGAGATGAAGTTATCCTTCATTACACAAACACTGTGCACACTGCATGAACACTCCCCCAAAACGCAGACTTCATTTTGTGTACATTACTCCCATGTATTCACCATGCATTTGGTAGACCAGTGTTTCCCAAATGGTATGCCACCAGTAAGGCTTAAGTGTGCCGTGAGGTTTCAGAGTTGACCAAAAAAAAACTTTAAAAACTTGAAAACAAGAGGGAACGCCATCTCTCAGTGGAAAACGAGCTGAGAGTTGCAGTATCACGCCTTGTATCAAACTGCTGTGTTCAACAAAGCAAGCACAAATTTCCCATTGAAAGTAAGTAAATGACTGAGAGTACTGTGGAAAGTTCAAGAGTCCCTATGAGTGCTGCAAAAAAAAAAAGATTGGGAACCACTGGGAAAGACCAACTAATCTCCAATATTTAATGGGACATCTCAATTGGACATGACATCGTTCTGACAACTCAGGATGCATGTGGGAGAAATGTAAGGAAAACCGGACTCAAGATCTCTCAATCTTGAGAAGCGGCTTGAACTGGAGGTTCTCATGGACGGCAACATTCAACCAACTGAACCTCAGGGACTGTCATGAAGAGAGAGAATCTCTTCTTCGAGCTGCTTCTCTAGAGCGATAGGCTGGGGTTAGGCCCGAGCCTGGTTTTCCTGACATAGCTCCCACATGCACCCTGAGATAAACTCAATGATGTCCAGGATAACTGCCAGAAAAACAATCAGCAGGCGATGATGCGGTGCTGCTCTCCAATGCTTTGGCACAAGTACTGGACCTGTCTAAATAGCGACTACATTACCATGGTGTGTGCTGTTGAGATAATGTCCACGTGAAAGAGTTTCTATTCCCATTGACCTGCCTACAAATAAGGACTTTGAGGCTCCTCATGAAATCAGGTTTTTGGGGGTGTTTCAATTTGTTGAAGAAACTTAGTAAGAACTTGAGGTTCCAACAATTTTGGGTGCACTGCCTCTGGTGTGCAGCTCAACAAGTGCATATCGAGGACATCTACTGCTCATTCAGTGCCCACTGAAGTGTGCACTGAATGAGTAGGTGTACTCAAAATGAAATCGGTGTTGCCTAGGTGTTCACATAACAAAGGATCCCCAGAGATGATTCATATGGGCTCAGTATGCTTGAGCACCCAAAAAAAATTGGCAGAAGGGGCTCACAGAAATGACATGAAAACAAGGAATACTGTCCAGGCATTGTTTGCCTTGCGCACGCCACCAGAGCACCATGCACATAGAGTGCACTCGCATAGTACGTCTCGCACACACTAAGGCAACATGCCCCTATGCAAGTGGGTTATCAAAGCCCAACATGGCACACATGAGGAAGTTGTTGTGTGAAGTGGGGGGCCGTTGGAGCCATCTTCACTACCAGCGTAAAATGCTGCACGGGCACAGCTTTACCGTCCCGTCCCAACCCGACCTAAGCCACTGTTCTCAAGCTGTCATTTGAGCCAATTTCCAATGCCCTACTGTCCCTGAGACTTGCCCACCCCATATTTCTCAACAAACTACCGCCTATGCTGACATCACAACAGACTCAAAATCATAAAAAATGCCAATTAAAGCTTTTTTATACAGTGGTCAACAAATTAAAATAATTTTATACCATACTAATTGATTTCAGATTCTACTCATGGAGAGAATACATAATGCCCAATAAAATAAAACCATAATACAAAGCCATAGAAATGCTGAGAAACAATGGTCAATAAGATTCAGATTCCAGGCTATTTTTCTGTCAGCATAAGCTTGGACCAACCCTTGCGAAGAGAAAAATGTAAGTAATATATAATGTAATAAATAAATAAAATGAATTTGGCTAGGTCTCTACCTAAAGTAAGTCTATTCCTCTGCTGCATAGGGTCATAGCCTGTCATAGGGTGACTGCGCAGGAGCGATCTAACCACACTAGCACCTAGATGGATGAACGCGCAATTAGTTAATCGAAAACGTTTGGGCAAATGAGAGCAGGGCAATTCCGACATCACAGAACGAGCTTCTCCTAATCGCCTCCTTCATAAACAATTACGTCGTCAAATAAAAGCCTGTTGGACGGGTGAAAAAGTCATACTCAACTGAAACTCCTCACTATTCGCCCAAGTCAACGACCTAAGTCTTTTCATGAGCTTGGGCTAATGCAAAGTTCGCGACCTTAGGCGTAAGTTGCATGGACCTATTTAGACAGAGCCTACACGAAAACACCAAGCGCACTAAAAGCAGGGCCAGTGGATCAAAACTGCCAATGTCAAACCCTCGGAGCTGCGTTTCAATTCATTCAACAGCATGGGCGGACATTGTCCTCTTGGGGAATATTCGACTTCTTCCGCTAGTCGTGACAGCTCAGACAGCTCATTTCAGTCAGACGGCCTGCTCTGCTGCTGCGGGAGTGTAGGCCTCAGGTAAACCCTGACTTCTTCCTATTTCCTTGATAGGTTTTTTTCCGCCTTGGCTTATAGTATAGCTTAACTGCCATCTGATTGTGGAGTTTTGGACTCGTGCGTTTCCTGTCCCATGCGGGTACTACTGCCTACAAAGCCATGGCTGCTTACTTCCGACAATCTAAAGTCCTCCTCAGGCTTCAGTCTGCACACGCCTTGCGTATAGCTCTAAATATCTGGCTTAGCCCTTTGATGGTCTTTGTAAGGCCTAAGTTGTAAATGGCGATTGGGCCAAGAATTAGCTTGACTAGGCAGACCTTAAGTTTACAGAGAAGCCAAGTCACACTCGACTGAGTTTTACCAATGAGCCAGGTCTAACGTTATTTCCTTTACCTAGGAGAGTTCAGGCCTAGTCTTGTACCCAGGCAATCATAACCTTAATTGGCTTCATTTATTCATTTTACAGGATCTGAAGCAGAAGCTCCAAAGTCTCCCCTTGAAAGAAGTAGATCCATTGAAAGCCTTCTCAAAAGAGTTAGGCTGTACCTTAGAAAAAACCTATGCATATCTTCAAATGTTGTGGCCATATATTCACAGAAGACTGAAAGAATTTTTATGGTGCACATCCAAAGATGTATTCCTTCAACATGAAACAGGTTCCCTTTCTCATCTTCCTCTCTCAGTTGGTGACAGCAGCAGATGAAGTGAAAGAATGTAAGTCCTTTTTATAATCTTTTGTCAAATGTTTCCATTCCATTTCATATTATCAGTGTTGAAGCCATGCTTCAGGTTTCAGGTTGTCCCTCATTTAAAGCTGGCCTTTCTTTTCCCCTAGATGATCTTGCAATGAAATGTGCCACCAACAAGAAGGTTGTAGTGGAACTCTTCTACAATTATGCTTCTGCTGTAGTCCTGCAGTACCAAGACACTGGGTTGGAGATTGAATCAAAGGATATCGATTGTGCAATAGAATTTCGTTCTCAACCAGACTCCGGAATAGGATTTGTTATTGAGGACTTGAACTTAAGGAAAACTGGTCATCGCTGTGTGGATTCTGTCCGGGTTTGTACTCTTCCTTGCCATTTCTGTTTTGTTTCCTCATTGTGCAACATGGTGGATTTAAACTCTTTGCGAAATGTGGCATTCTCAGAATCTTGTCTTGATTTTGAGCTGTACTTGAAATGGATCTTGAAATGGATGGTGAGGATCTGGAAGGTCACCAAGTTCCTGGAGGAGGTCTTAGGTTTGATACCACCTGAGTATATGGAGTAGCACCTTTATATTATGTCCTTAAACTTAGTGTGACTTTTTTCTTTTTTACGATTTGGGTAAGAGGCACATTTTCAGGTTGAAAATAGACCTATTTCAATGAAGGGTGGACATTCTCCCCAACCTATGAGCATTTCTTTCATATTCAGCTTCAATGCTACAGATGAAATGTACTAAAGTGACAGATGCAGTGTTTCATTTTTGCTTTAAAGTGAGAGCTTCAGTAGGCTTGCCTCATCTTTGTTAACATGCAATATGGAGTATGGCTTTGAAGCATGATGATGCTGCCATTACTCAAGTATGTACAGTAATCTTGCTTGCTCCTGATGATACAAAGTATCAGGGGTCATACTGTAAAAAGACATGTAAGAACATGTCTTTTTGCAGTATGACCCCTGATACTTTGTAATGGTTCACTCACTTGGTCTTGGAAGCACCAGTCTCTCAGGAATGGTGTTCTGAAGAGGAAATGACAGAATGCTGGGCCTTTAAACACTCTGCAAATGTTGTCAGCATTCTTTTTTATTTATTTCATGAATACAAAGATTGGGGAATTCATTTATTTGACATGGGTACTGCTTGAAAACTTTATTACTCTCAATGTATTTAATGGCATGAAGGGAAGCAGTCTTTTTTTTTTCCAGACTTTGTAACCACCCATTTGCATTCACTATACTGCTGAGGATATTCACTGCTGTAAATGGATAGGAAGACATAATCTGCATGGATGTATTTTGTAATCAAGCATAAATCCTGTTGTCAAGATCTTTTTGATCCCCATGCAAGTGGAATGAAGTTTAAAATAACCAGGTTCAATGCTTCATTTTAGAATTCATTTTTGCTTAAATAGGCCATATATATCTCATTGTGTAACCCTGGTCATTCCCATGACTTTGTCAGGGCAATGAAGCTCTGAAGGTTTTAATTGGACCTACTTCTGCAGTTTGTTCCAGATATATTGCTCCTCCCTGACGCAGCAAGAGATGTCCTTCATGATGGTAGCGGCAGTGTATGTGGCACTATGCATAACAAAATGCAGAATCTCAGTCATCGCTATACAAAATCTGGGAAAGCTATGTATGCTCTCTCCTACACTGATGACCGGATCGATTTTTACTTCAGAAAAAGGCGATCAGCAGTTGAAGAAAAACTCAATCTCACTCTCACTGTCACAGCCTTTCAGCGACCAGAAAGTGAGGCATAACTCTTACTTTGTGGAGGGGAACCAGTGATTTTGGATGAGTTTCTGGTGTTTGCATGTTAACACTTTGACACTTTGAATCCTGCAGCCATCATATGATGTTCTATGCCCATAGCACATTCAAATTGCAGGGCTTAAAGTGTTAAGGTAATTTCTTCCTATACAATTTCAAGGAGACTACTTTTTAAGAGTTTCATTGTTCAAATAGACTTGCTGAACTCTCCTAATTTGTAGTTTGCTTTTGTTTAAGGATGGGGCAGTTGTGGAGTGCACAAGTTTGACTGTGGACACTCTCAATGCATTGCAAAAGAACTTGTGTGTGATGGTCATGTCAATTGCTTGCCCCGTACTGGTTACATTGGCCTGGATGAAGAAGACTGTGTATCAACTCAACCGAAAGGTACAAAGAACATCTTGCGTTGTCATACTGCATGGTGAAATACCCTTTTTCCTTCCCTGTATCTATTAATTAATTTTCTTCCCTCATTCCTTCCCCTAGATTACTCCATTGGAACTGTGTGGATTGTTCTGATCATTGTGATTACCAGTGGCATTGTGATATTATTATTCTTCCTCTGCAATAAGTTCTCCAGTCGTCTCGCAAGTCACATTCGTCCCCCAGCACCCACGAGTGACTGTCGATACCTTGGCACTTCAGAGTTTGGCTCTAATGAAGCCCCACAAGCAGTTCCTCTTCATCCCCAGGAGCCTGTTTTGGAAGAAGCAGATGACAAACCACCTGAATACCATGCCCTCTTCCCAGAGGGGCCTCCTTCTTTTGTTATAGAAACTGAAACCAGCAGAGCTGAGACTGCTCCTCAGAGCATTGTAAAGCCGTGGAATCATGTCTCGTGACTTCCCTCTGCAAACTGTAGCACCTGAGGGATTGTGCAGATTTTTTAAAGGACTTTTTTTTTCACCTTTATTGAGTCATGTGGATGTGATAAATCTTTTTTTTTTTTTTTACAATATGGCAACAAGCCTGATCAATGAATCACCAAGCACAAACTTACAATACACAGATTATATTTTTCATAGCAAAATCGCCAGTTGGGCAATCTCATCATACATCCCTACTTATTCTTCAGCTTGCCTTACTGTATAATCCTAAATAGTGGTGTCTACTTTTGGAAATTTTCCTGTACCCGAGTGGGCAACCTTTTTTGCTCTACTATTCCATTTAGGTGAATATTGTTGTTGCAACTGATAAGGTAACAAGAATGTAGTGAAAAATTCCTTGCTGTCATATGAAACTATGAACTAGGGGTGACATGCACCAAGTCTAACTTTAACCTGGTCAATAATGGGAGATAGGAATATCTCCCTCAAACCTATTTCCATAGAGGACCATTATGAAATCAGATTCATTGAAGTTAAACCGATTTCATGCATGTCACCCTAGATCTTGTCCTCTCAAGGCCCCCTCTACTAAGTGAATTGGGAATGCTTTGAGCTGCAAGAAACAGTATTGCATGAGAGTAAAGAGTTTCTACAAATGGTCACTGTGCTTTGGAGTTTCCTCCATTTTATTTTTTGAGACAGACAGTGCTGTTGTTTGCCATGTCTTGCCTGTGCAGCAATATGTCCATATATGATGAATGCCTTTTCAAAATCTGTTTTGGTCTGGTTGCTTCCATATTGGGTTGCTTGATTCATACATCTTCATTTAGGAAAAAGTTAGTCAGATTGCAGGTGTAAATGCATTTATACTTACCAATAGGTCTATGATATTTTCAGTACTTTGCTTTTTTATGCCAGTCTGCCCCCTAGAGCGTCATTAATTCAGTGTGAATTTTCTGGCAGAAAATGGAGGACATGTCCTAATGTAGAATCTCTGCTTGCATGGGATGCTGTTGCATTTTGTTGGCTGAAACTATCGTCCATCTGCATATCAAATGGTGACGTTTACACTTGATATTTTGTTGGGAGACAATGTAGTATTCAGTGCGATTGATTGCACCTGGTCTGAATTATGTTCTCACCCTTGTCCCCTGATTATGAATGCCTTGAACTGCCTACCCTTGTTCTTATCATTGTATACTTGCTGTCTCATTTGGGGTGAAAATTTTGGGCAGCCTCTTGAGCTCTTGTGCAGCTTCCTGATGATCAGATTTGTTCATTTTTCCCATGAAATTTGGTTTCTGAAGGAGTCTTCCCTTCCTTAACCTACTATATGAGCAAGATCTGAGCCCTCTACTCTTTGTCTGTCTTTTCTTCACGGTAAGCAAAAGGACTTGCCTCCACTGCTTGCATTTACAATATATTGATGAAAGTGAAAGAAACCTGCTTCCCTCTTTTCCACTCTTCTAGCTTTTGTTAAGTTGTGTGTCAGAAAATTGGGATTTCATCCTTTGAAGTCTGTTTGTCTGAGTAGCAAGGTTAAAACTGAGCCTATAAGAATAGATGTACCCTCCAACCATCTTATTTTTCCACAATGCTTATACCTGTAAGGAAAAACAGACGAAGAGTTGTGTGCAATCAGCTCAGGGTTGCCTGAAGAAATGATATTTCTAATATTGATATGTCCACTTATCTGAATATTCTTTTTATTGCCTTCCTATATGATGTCTAATGCTTTCTGATGTGAATTTACAGATTTAGGAACACCGTTGCTGTATGGCTAGTGTTTGTTTAGATCCAGGAATGGTCTGGCTAGTGTAGTTTGATCCATCAGTAGCCCTGTTAGTACTTCCAGCCCGGTTTAAGGCAGTCTCTCTCCTCCTGCTCATATCTCGCATCACAAATGTTGCCAGCGTGATTTGATGCACCCTCAGATGGTACTTCCCTGCCCAGATGAATTTGTGCAAGATGTATTAATCTCACTTCTGTATGTGAAGTTTCTTGTGTTCCACATAATTTTTCCAGATATGAGCTTTGGCAAAGCTAAGTGGCAGAGACAGTTACATATAAAATTGACAGCAACAAAAAAAATATTTTCCTATCCAAAAGTTGTCCTGCTAAATTGTTGCCCCTACTGACTTGCTTGAGGGAAACTTAGCACTATCCCACAGATAGACAAC